GAACACTGAGACCATTTGACACACCTGGAGAATTATTCGAACCCAAAGGAACAGAGAAGAAATGGTTCAATTCATGACTGAATCTCCTTTTCTTTCTGTTTGAAATGAGACACCTTACTGTGAAGGCAAAGAGAACAGGAGCTGGCAGAAACTCTGGGAGCTGGTGGTATTGGGTGACCTGATGCTGGCCAGGTGTAATGCATTGCCATGGGACTGTGCTGAGGAATGGGGCAGGGAGACAGAAATGGAGTTCCATGGGGGTTTGAATCTGGAGGGCTGACTTCTGATATGGGAGCCCTGAATCCAGTACGACTGGATGTCCAATCAGCAGCGTGTCTGGGGAAGAAATGGCGAAGGGCTGCCAGGGAAGTCTGCGGCAGCGCCATAGAGGGGGGTTGTTTTTGCATAAAGGGATAGTGAAATATTAAATTTTGGATGTAAACTGGCAGAGTCAGGTGATAAATATAAAATCTGACCTGCAACAATAAAAGGGGCAATATACTGAGTACGTATTGTGAAGACAAAGTTTTCAGCTTAAAACATAGAAGGAGATGGGCCAAGGGACTGTAAAGAACAATAAAGAAAGACATAAAGGGGGGATGTGTCTCATAACCCAACATACAACATATTAAATAACATAACATAGCAAAACATAAACAAATGAACGGAACATCTGAAACTAGCAACTGAATTACAGATGATCCTCGGGGACCCTGTCTGTAGCCCCCATAAGGAGTGGTCAGCAGAGTCATCTCCAGCTGGTCCCACAGCTGTTATTGCCTCAATCCCTCAGGTAGCCTCCGAGGGCAAGACATCCTCTATGATGTGCTGCTCATGGAAGATGCAAGGCTTCCTGGAGGGTGGTCCTCAGAGTGCATGCAGGCCCAGGCTTGGGTATTTATTACTATTTGGCAAAAGGAAAACAGACTTCAAGAAGACTGCAGATCCAGATGCCTGGCACAGAGGCAGGCACAATCCTGTCTTTACCATGTGGCTGGTTGCGGGTGCACCTCTTTCTTGGTTCCTATTATAATCTTTCATTTCTATGAATATGAGAGGCTACAGGGGTACTGTGAGTTCTCAAAGCTCAGGACAGAACAAAGAGATTTAGCTCTCTCTTCCACACACACAGGTTTAGTTGATGCTTGGAGACTCTGGGCAACTGAGAATGAGGGTGACATTCCCTTGGGCAAAACAACCTGGAGCCCTGGAGAGGGAGATAACCCTTATTGCCTCTTCAGAATTTTTATCTCAGAGTATGGCAGAGAAGACGAAACTCACAGAAGAGCAAGGCAGCACATGTGTGGCACCCTGGGACCATTTTCTGGGTGCAAATAGTTCCTTCCTCCCAATACGCCCTAATCAGTTATTGGTGGGTGATGCTGGTAAGCAAGCTTTTAGTTTATGTTTATGTGATGGATGGAAAGTTCAGTGAATGCCAGGGGCTATCAAAAGTGTGATTCTGCCCTCAGAGAACCCATATTGTTTCTGGGAAGTCAAGGCCAACCCACAAAAGAAGACAGAATGGAAAACCACAGCCTGAGCAGAGATGCTCTGACCAAGGTCTAAAAGGCAGGCAGCAGCAGAGCCAGGATCGGGGATGCTCATTTGTGCACAGTGGGGGGAAGGCCAGCAGTATGCTGGGAAGAGCTGGGCCCTACACAGTGGAAGAGGTTGCTGTGATGGAAAATGGGGCCACTGCCCTGGGCATTCTGGAGTCTGGGAACAGCCCCTTATCAAGCCCTGGGAAGAATCCCTTGCTCTCCCAAGGCAGCTGGCTGGGAGAAGCTGACTGCAGCAAGGGCTGACAGCAGGGCTGAGTAGGCGTGCTCAGGGGGAACGAGAGGCTCCCAAACATGATGGACTGCTTGCACTGGGCTGCAATCCCCTTCTGCCCGCAGGGAAATGACTTGGAACAGGTACAAGAATCTGAACCGCCAAACTGCATTTGCTTGGTGACTCCGGTTGCTTATGAGAAGTCTGCTCAGGAAGACACCTCTGTTCGGACAATTATGCCTGGCATGTGCCCACGGACCTATTCCTGAAGGCCGGGTCTGAGGAGTTTGGGGATTACTGCAGCTCCTCACCCTGGCTTTCATAATCTTGGCCACCCAACGTATTCCACTTGCTTCTCCCCAATCCCAACTCAAGCCAGGCTGGCTTCCTTGTATTGTTCACTGAATGGCCCTCCCTCTCTGGGCTCCTCCTCCATTCTACACTGTGCAGGATTCACCCACACCTGCTTCGAAAGCCAATCGTTTCCCCTAGGACCTAAGAACTTCTCACACTAGGGGGCAGCCCGCCCCACCTGCAGTTAGCAAAGGAGACCAGCAAAACTTGGCTCACTCCAGTTTGCCCTACAAACCTGGGAGAGGGGGCTGAACAAGAAACACACATCTGGGACCGGTGAGGGATTGTTCATCTCTAAAGAAAGGTGTGCTTTAAGCTAAAAGGCTGCAGCTCTGGCCAAGGGTAGAGAATAGGCAACAGGCCCCAAGATGTGTTGGTCAGAGATGAGGATTGCCCGAGTGTAAGAATAAGGTGGACGGGTATGCTGCAAGGAGAGGTTTTTCTCCAGATCTGGAGGCTGGAACAGGAATGGCAGGACGGCTCCTTGACCACTGCCACACATATGAGAACCCGGAGGACCTATGGTCTGGGAGCCTGATGGGTCAATAGCTAAGCAGAGGGACCTGATGGCTGCCTAAATGCGTAAGCTGGAGGGAGGAGGGGCGGGGTGCAGAGTCCAATGTCAGCTTCTGCCACCAAAGGCTGACATACTTGGGCAAGGAATCTACCATAAAGTAGTTGATTCTGATGGTACACATGCTCAAATCACTTTGCCTGCCATGGTGGATGGATACATGGAGTTGCTGCTTCCTTCTTTTCTCTGTTCCGTGGAAAGTTTATATATACATTTTGTTTTTATCAGGGTCTCGGTCACCATTCAGTTCTCCATTCACCACTTGCCAAACACCTGCATTGCGCCCGGCCCTGTGCTGGGCGCTGGAGACACAACAGCAAATGGGCACAGTCCTCGCCTTCAGGAGATGACTGCCTAGAGCCACAGGCAGCATCCGGCACCAGGGGGGTGGCGCCCTCACAGTCCTCAGACACAAAACTGAACACGATTAAAATGTTTTTCTTGGCATACATTTAACACCAAAACAAGCACCAACTCTGTTAGAAAATTACATTTAAATATAGTTACAAAAATGTAATCCCAAATCATAGGTGTCTCATTTATCAAAGACAAAAACTATTGGGACCATTTGCCAGATGAGGCTTTGTTTTAGTTTTCCCACTTAAAATCCCATTGTGAGCTTATTTCATGCTTAAAAAGCTGTTTTATTTTCCCCAGGCTTTCTCTTCAAAAGCTAGATCTTCACTGGAGCTAGCCCTTATAAGTTAAAATAAAACAAAGTGAGTTCTTTACTCAGATATCTCATTCATTCATTCATTCATTCATTCATTCATTCATTCATTCATTCATCAGTGACTATTTCCTGAGCACTCCCATTGGGACCAGACAGGTGCTAAGCCTGAGGAATTCTGTGGTGAACAAGAGAGACAGAATCTTGCCTTCAGGGTCCTTGGGGCCCAGTGAATCATCCCCAAGTGCGGCCCAGGCTTCCCGAGGTTGGGAACACAGTTTCCCTCTCAGGCTTGTCCCTCTTTCTGTTTCCTGCTTCATCCTAAATAGACTGACACAAAGATGTGTCTACTGCGCTCATCTTCTCTACTCTGTTCAAAGGCAAATGACTCTCACTCTGCCCAGAGGTTGGTTTAGTTATGCCTCCCACCTAAGGAGGATAGGTTGTGCAGGGGAGGAGCACTATGAGAGCTGCCCCGCAAGAGGATTGACCCCAGGTGTCCTTGCTTTGCACAATGAGGTCTTGCTAATCCAGCCCTGATAAACTGGATTAGGAATAAATGACTAAGAGGCAGCCGTTCAGAGTCTGACCAGTGACCTACATGGTGGCCTAGCATCGCTCTGCCCCATAGGGACATGAGTGACTAACACAGCTAATCACACCCTCCCTGGGGAAATTTAAGAGTGAAAGATACCTCCATGCCCTCCAGAGAGACAGAGAATATAACAGGGGGTCTGAAGCTTAAAGACACACCCACCAAGAGAAGGCAATAAACAGAAGCCAAAAAGTGGAGGAGCTGTGAAGCACGTGAGTTATGCATAAGCAGTAGCCTAGTGTAGTATCAACACATGAACCAGAAACAAGCCATCAAGCAACCAAACACTGGCACAGAGAAAACGCAAGCACCCCTGCTCCGCCACTGGAACTATCGGTGTCACCACTAGGGCAGCTGTGATTCCATAAGCTGTCCAGTCCTCTGCAAGATCTATCTATGCCGCTGGCCTTACCTCCTTGCTTTGCCTGAGCTCAGTGACAAACCTCCACCAGCTAAGGGTGACCTGAACCTTTGCTCTATCCCTGCCCCCTAAAAAATCTAAACAAAAATCCACCTCCATCTAAGGCCACTGTTTTGCCATTCGCTGAGCCAGTATTTCAGAAACTCCTTAACCCACAGGCTGGATTCTGGATCTCCAACCCCTGCCCAGACGCCCTCTGTGCAAGCCCAACCCTCCCCAGGTGCTGAGTAATGACGAAACAGCCGAAAGGCACCAGCTCCACTCGGCACTCTACGATAAAGTGAGTAAGCTTGCCAGCCATTTCTGCTGAGCACCCTGGATAATTACTATTGACCCCAAGATGTCATGAGATTTGAGAAGAAGCACACTGAAGAAACTAGGCACATGACATCAGACAAGTTACCTCAGACATCTCACCTGTAACATGGGGATAATATATCCCCTAGGAGTTGTGAGAATAAACGAGCTATTATGTTTCTTGCAGCAGTGTGCCTGCACTTAACAAAATCCCTCTAACTACATGGTGTGATGATTTGAGGACAGGTCTAGCAGCTTCTGTTCTAGAGGTCAAGCTGCCTGTACTCCACAGGACTGACGAAAGCAGGCCCACCTTGCCAGCCAGGCTTGCAAACTGGCTTCACGTCCACCTGCACCAGGGTGTCCTGCGCAGCAGGCTTCTGTCCGCAGTCGGAGGCGGTCACCAGAATCTCGTACTGGTGTTGCTTGTCATAGCTCAGCTTCTCGGTGTTCCTGATGTTGCCTGAGGACACAGAGACGTTCAAAATTGCTTGGGATCACGTTAAGCACAGTGCAGTTCTTCAAAATCCCTTCTCCACTCCTCCAACCTTCATCAGAATCAAATGGCCCTCTTCCCACGCCCTTTGTAAAAACAAGGGCAAATGGGGGCATGGCTTCCGCGGGCTGCCTGTGTGCACCCCGGGAACAGATTCCCAGGACTGGCTGGCTGAAGCGGCCTCAGCTGTGTGACGGGGCTGCTGTGAATACCCAGCACCTTCGGAATCCAACCGTGTCTGCGAGTGATGGGCTGGGAGACCCTCCCTCACGGTGCCCCCTGGGGCCGCGTCCCCTGCTGTAAGTAAGGCGCAGCGCTCCTCTGCCACCAGGTCTCTGGGAAAAGGATAGGATTCAGAATTGTCCTGATACATATTTTTTAACATCTGGGCTCACTGCCAGGAACGTTCACTGCCTCTTTTCACATTATTTTGCTACCAAATAGGAAGTAAAATCAATAAGAGAACGTGTGACCTCCCTTCCCAAGTTACACAGAATAACAGATTCCTTGCCCTGGTGGCAGACATTTTTCTTCTCCAAGAAAGAGAAGACAGTTTTCATAGCCATTGTGTGTTTTTATCCTTATGTGTTTGACATTATGATTCAGAAATAAATACTTGATAATTAACAAGCAAAACTTTGAGTATTTTTGCTAAAATACAATTTTAGCTCCAAGAAACTAATATAGGGTCAATGTTCATTTAATCATTTTTAGTTTTTTAAAAAAATATATTTTATTTATTTATTTTTTAGAGAGAGGAAAGGAGGGAGAAAGAGAGGGAGAGAAACATCAATGTGTGGTTGCCTCTTGTGCACTCCCACCAGGGACCTGGCCTGCAACCCAGGCATGTGCCATGATTGGGAATCAAACTGGTCACCCTTTGGTTCACTGGCTGGTGCTCAATCCACTGAACAACACCAGCCAGGACAATTTTTAGTTTTTGATTCCAAGAGATTAATTTCTTCATTTGTTGAGAGTAACTTCATTCTTGCATTTTTTTTCTGATGGTGGAACTGACAGCCAGTTAGAACCCAAATGTTATCATCATCCTTTACCAGAAGTGAAATTAAGTAAATGAAAATTGAAAAAAAAACACCCCAAACCCAACAAGCAAATGAACGAATGTGGAAAGGCTGACTCAGGCTTATTTTTAGATTTCATCCAAACTAAAGGAAAGCTATCTAATGAGCTTTCTAACTGATGTAGCTTGTTCATGTGAATTGAGACAAGGACTAAGGCAAGAAAGTCTGGGAAATTAGGACAGTTGTATAACGCTTTAGAGATTGAAGAAGTCGATCCACCCATCGCCCAGTATGAAACAGCACTCAGCACTAGGCCATGAGCAGATGCTACAAACTCGAGTGTGAGGAGGAGGAGGCAGTGCAGGCGAGTGGCGGTGGGGAGGGGAGAGGGAGTCGCTTGAGACGCTGGACCAGAAATGAGAGTCATTTATTCTGTACCTGCTCTGCACTGTTTCTAAAAATGCAACTGCAGCCACGGGTTTGAAGTAAAATTTACTTTAACAAAGCCGGTCCAAACTCTCTGAATAAAAATGGATTTGAAATATTTTTGGCTTTGTGACTGGTGTTCAGAATCCCTTTTATTTTTCCCCAAATATTTGTTTTCAGTCTAGCTTGGGGCCCACACAGGTCTGGCATGGCTTGGTATCGGGTTGGTAGCACTCTCTGTGGGTTGGGTTAACAAACCAGTTTGCAGTTGCAGTTACCACAGGGGAGGAATTCCGTCAGGTGGTGGCACCGTAATATAACCGCAAGAAGGAGATTTCAGCCGCATCAAATTGAATTTTCAACAAAAAGTTCTAACTTCCTCTTTCTTTAAAGTTAAATGGCTCTCAAAAGATATGTCTCTTCCAAGAGGCAGGCTTAGGGTTTACAAGCCGTGTGACGTTAAACAGACCAAGCACTATTGATTGTGCTGGAAAAATAAACACACAAGCTGGCAATCTTTGCCTCAATTTGTTGCAGCTCCTCGTCCGTAACTGTCTTAATGAAACTGTCTGAGAAACGAATTCACTTTCTCTGCCACCGCCAACTTCATGTATGTGGGGATGAGACTCACGGCACAGCATTTGCAGCATTAGGTTGAAAAGAGAGCACAGTGTTGTGACCTGTCATTGTGTGGGGGAGTAATATTTGGATTAGACACCCAGTGAAAAAATTTTGATAGCTCAGAGGAAGCCATACACTTTGCTTCTGTTACAATTCTATTTTTCCTCCCTACATTTAAATGATTTCTCCTGCCAGTGCCTTCTTAGGGGAACACAGTCTACAGTTAACTCAGGTAAATAGCTGCCCCTGGGCCTATTCCCTTGTCCGAGTGAGCTGGGTAGCTAACTCTCGAAGAACAATCAGTACCTACCTTATGTGTTGGTGAGAGTGATTTTTTGAAACTCAGATGGGGAGGGGCATGCAATAAGGCAAACACAGAGACCTGCACAGGCCTGCTGATGGAATTGAAATTGGAACAATCCTTCTGGAAAGCTCTACAGGCCAGTCACTTTGCAATTATTCATACCTTTTGGGCATGCAATTCCACATCTAAAAATTGATTCCAGAAAAATGATAGAAGTTTCAGGTATTTATTGTGAAAAACTGCAAATACAGGTGAAAATATGCCCATATCAGCATTATTTATTACACTGAAAAACAGTGAAGAAACTGCATGTCTGGTAGTAAAAGAAGAGCTACATATAAGAGTCTGTGCATGAGACAGAATGTTGTTCAGGGCTAAAAGTGGTAATTATGAAGCATTATTAGGGATGGAAATATATTTAATCAAATGTTAAGTAAAAATGGGAATATTTTGGAACGTTTTAAGAAACATGTGGCCATATTTTTGTTTAGAAAGTCTTAGAAAATCTACTGGTAAAATGCCAATAGTAGTTATCTTCCTAAAAACTTATTTTATTAGTGGTTATCTTTGGTGGGATTCCTTCTTCATGCTTTCCTGTGCTTCCTGAATTTCCCTGTGTTTGTTTTCCAGGTGTTAGTTTTCTAGTCAGGTTGTAAAGAAGTGTTTTCATTTCCTTTAAGAATAAGCTGACTCTAAGACACTTCACTCAGAGGCACTAGAGCACCATTACTCACCAGGCAGCCTGGCTGAGACCAAACGGCCCCTCAAGAAATAGAACAGTCTGTCCAGTGGCGAGTGGGTGTCACTGAGACCGCTGCTGCTCCCTCTGTGGTCACTCTCAAATGTGGGTGACAGCTTGGCTCGTGCCCATACACTGGTGGGTGCCCTGTTTGCAGTGTGTCCACCCCCTTACACAAGCAAGATTTTTAATTCCCATTTTACTGATGAGGATCTGAGGCAAGGTTCACGAAAGTTGTCAAAGATCTCTCCGTCTCTCACACACAGTGGTGGATGTAGGATTAGGACACCACTTTGTGTTTTTGATCTTAAACACCATCACCGTGCATTTCTGTCAAACATCACTAAGGATAATGATATCACCGGTGGAAAGGCCTTGGGGCCAACACTCAGGGACCTGGGCTCCAGTTCCAGCTCTGCCAGCTGTGGGCCAGGAGCTGTTAGGCAAGCCCTTTATGCTCTAGGGTTCGGTTTTTCCATCTGTTTCATGGAAATGAACACCTCGGCCCCACCCATCTCCACGAGACCAGCCAAGTGCCAGAAGATGCGGGCCTGGCAGCCATCTGAAATCAATCCACAATTTCCCAAGATGGGGTGGTGTCACCAGCTCGGAGTTACCTGCTCATAATTTTAGCTTAGAAATCCATGGGGAGTGAGGGAATACCCTGCACGCCCCACTCACCCAGGTGAATATCTAATACTCATGGCACCACGAATCGAGCACTCCCTGCGGGCAGCACACCCAGCAGGCGCTACCCCCGGGCCCTGCCTCTCCCTGGGGCCTCGCACCCCCACAGTGAGGCCGGGGCTATCACTGCCACGATTTTACGGTGGACGCAGGCTGAGAACCTCTGTTGGAAAAGGTCGAGTCTTCAGTGAAGACAGGTCCTTCTGACTCTGTGCTGTCTTCTACCATCTCACCACCCTGCTCCTTCCATGTTCCCCCACCAGCAAAAGGCCTACTAGTCTGGAGGGGCCAGGAGCCATCTATCTGAAACCATGAGAGGCCTCAGTGAGTGGGCCCCACACTCAGCAGGACTTTTTCTGATGTGCATGCAGAGAACTTCTTCAAGGAGCCTATAAGGTCACCGGAAGAGTGATGGATAAGGGCCAGTTGGGAAGCTCATTAGAACAGGAGCCATTTCGGTGTCTGCCCCTAGGCCCTGCCTTCATTACTTGGAGAACTACTTTGGTAAACCTCACTACTGGGGCCCACACTCCCTGGGAATGCCCACTCTCCTCTTAATCTTATACTGTAAACCAATGTTGGAGGCAGAGGCCTGGCGAAGAACCATTACTCACTTTTAATGAGACAGCTAGGGAAATAAATTGGCATATGTTAGTGAAATGGCTCATCAAGGTGAGTAATTATCTTCATGACTGGGGCAGTTTACCCTCTAATGAAAGAATTTGCATCTCCTCTCTGATTGGCCTGTGGCTCTCCAGACTAAGGCAGGAAGTCAAGGGGAGCTTGGCCACTCATCACAGAGACCTCCTCCAGTCCTACTCATCGTCAGGGATGTTTCCTTCCCCAAATTCCAAAGTTTTTGTGGACACAGACTGAACAGCTGATCACAGGGGAACAGACAAATCCAAAAGAGTTGTTTTATATTTTATGAAATGGTGTGTTGTGTATTGTTGTGTGATGTGTATCTGGGTGTCAGGGATGGGCCTGTCTACAGGAGAAGCTATGAGAGAGCTCTCCTACTTGAAATTGCCTATTTCTTAGTCCTGAACCAAACATTGACTGAAGTTTAGTATTTCCTCCCTTACTTTCTTAGGCACTGATCTTGTGTCCTACACAATTAGTGACATCCAAGTATGTAACTGTCATTTCCAGGTGTTTTAGCATTTTATAAGGAAATAGCCTTAGTACTACTTTGTTCGTGTTAGGAATACTGATTTCCTCTCATAAGACACATCAGAAACTACTGGGGGTCAAGGGTGAAGGTTCCTCCTTGGGTTCCATCCCCTCTGGAATCTGCTGCAGTTCTCAGGATGCAGAAGACAAAGTCACCGGGAAGGTTTCTCTCTGGTCTCAACATCAAGAAGCATCAGAAGCACTGAAGACTTGTAAGCAGGTGACCCCTGGTATTTCCCTTGAGGTGCTGGCTACAAGGAGGCTCAGAGCTCATTTATTGCCCAACCCTGGTTTGTGGCATGCTTTGCATACCAACCTCACCCTGATGACACCTGACTTTGTATCTCTTATTTTGATCTTTCCCCACTAACTGGTAAGCTCCATGTAGGCAGGCCCATGTCTGATTTTGGGCTCTACTCTATCTCCATTCCCAGTTTCTAGCTCTGTGCTTGGCATTCAGTAAACACAGGAGTGGGTGAAACTAGGGTCACAGTTGTAATACCAATAAATAAGACAGTAGTCAATAAGTAATAATACAAGAATAAACTATGTTTTGTATACTCCTAACTGTAAACCTATTTGTGCTCACCCTGGTATTCACAGAGTAGATGAACTCCAGGTTTGAAACTCTTGAGTCTTTGTGCAGAACTTAAATCCTATTTGAAACAAAGTGGGATAATATACACACACCTGTACACTCATGCTAACAATTAAATAACATACTTGGCAAATAATTATCATTTGATTGATATCAGGTTATTGAAAATAACAGTTAAAGTAGGTCAAATCGATTGGGTCTCTGGCTGTCACATTTATACTGCAATGAGCTTTTAATTAATGATGGTGAAATATTCAAATGGCTTTATGAGGACCATTTTTAGTTCATGTGGGATTGGGGCATCGTGGGAGAGTTCTTTCATCCTTCATCCTCACGAGAGTAAAAATTCTCAAAAGACATTGGCAAGAGCTTTAAAGATTCCTAAATGGATCTATAGCTTAGGTGTTTCAGAAATCTCCACTTTCTCTTTCAGGATCTCTTTGTTTAGGAACAGGACTCAGATTATTGTGGTGTGGGAAGGTTACACCTGATCATGTAGGAAAAGGACTCAGACATGGCTGAGTTGACGGCATGACTCACGTCTGGATGACAACTGAAAAATTCTACCAGAAAACCCACCTGTGTACAGCATCCAGGTCGGTGGCATTGTGAGTTCTATAGACTGTAATCACTGAGTAGGTGTCTTAGGGGACATGTTTCATAACTGGCTGGGCTGCTGGTGATGTCAGGCCATCCCCTCTAGTGTAGGACTGAGCTCTGGGTTCCAGAGCCTAGAGCAGGGATGCCAAGGGAGCATCATTGGCTGAGTACATTCAGACCCCCGCTTGGCCTTCATAACGGGGGGTGGGGGGTTTCCCTGCCCCCCACAAGGGTCCTCTCAGGACACTCACCATTTCTGTCGATGGCAAAAGGCACATCAGTCGTGACAATTTCATAGTTGCAAATCTGGCTGTACTGCGGGGAGCAGTCCTCGTCGACAGCCTCCACCTGTAGGATGCTGTCGTAGATCTTGCCCTCTGTCACCACAGCCTTGTAGGCCGGCTCTTTGAAGGTGGGAGCAAACTCATTGACATCTTTCACCTGGATGTGGACCACAGCCCTGGAACCACACACGGAGAAAGAAGAGATGGTGGTAAAGAAAGAGTAGCATTGTCCTCACCTCCCGCGGGCACTGACTCAGGCCCCAACACCAAGAAAATGGGGAAACCACGAGCCACTCGGGGGGATGTCGGAGTGCTCTGTCCTCCCTCTTGTTGATCCCGCAATGAGTCCGCCCTGGGGGAACTCCTCATTCTTTGACCTTCCCTGTCACCCAGGTTTAGGCAACAATATTTCTCTTGATTGTCTCTCCTTTCCCTTACTCATTCCTTTATCTGTTTACTCACTCCTCCACTGGGGAAGAACTTGACCACTCTGTGTGAATCTCTGAGTCAAACTCCGTGAGGGAGGGAGTGACAGCCTGAAATGAAAAGTGCCAGGACCGAGAGAAGCATGTGGCATGGCAGCAACCCAGGGAAAGGTCCCGACTAGGTCTGCAGGGTTGGGCTGCCCCAGGGACCTGAGCTCAGCTCTGATGGTAGAGCAGGACTATCTCCCCAGGAAGCAGAGGGGCAGAGAATTTCAGGTGTAGAAAGCAGCTGGTGGCCAGGTCTGCAGTGGCCTGCAGAACTGGCCAGCAGTTGTGCAGCTGGAGCACCAAAGTGTGACCACTGGGGGCACGTATCTGAAGAGCAGTGTGTGACAGAGACGGGTGGGCGAGAGTGGGAGGGGGTACAGGCAGCTGCGTTAGGCGACTCACTTGTGCGACTTCTTCCAGGCGGTCTCCCGGGGCCCCGCGCCACAGTCGTAGGCCTGGATGATGAACGTGTACTCCTTCTGCAGCTCACAGTCGATGGGGCTCTTGGCACGGAGCCGGCCCTCTCCCGAGGTCTTGTTGAGCACCACAGCCTCGAAGGGCAGCTCCTGGCCATGGATCTTGAATGCACAGATCTCTCCTGCAGAAGGGGAAAGACGGTGAGGGGGGTCCTGAGAACTGCCAGACGGAAGACAGAGCAGGTTTGCAAAGCTAACACTGCAGGCCATTTCCCCCACACAGAGAACTGTCAAACCAGAAGAGGCCTCGAGACCCAGACCACCATGTCCATTTTGTGGGTGGTAAAGCCGAAGTGTTTCATGTATGGAAGTGTCACCCATTGAGTGTGTGTCTGGGAGAGAAAAAGGGGACAGTCACGTGCCGGGGAGCTGGCTGATGACCCTGGTTTCCTACTTTTCTGAGCAGGTTTCCTGCTTGTCCTCTGCCCAGTCCGAGATTAAAAATGGCCCACACTCAAAAGACAAATGACTGCAGAGGGAAGGACAAGGCCGAAGCCTCCTCAGCCTTTTGTCCTGTGGCCACGTCCTTGCTACTTGAAGGTGTGCTCTGTGGGCCAGCAACATGAACGTCCCCTGGCTGCTTGTTAGAATCCAGATGCCAGGTCCCACCCAGACCTCCTGGGTCAGAATCTTCATTTTAACAGGGTCCCCAGCCAATTTGTTTGCTTGCTAAACATGAGCTGCATTGTTCTTCTGTGTCCTTTGCTCCTGGTTTAAACAACCCACATTTCTGCAGACACATTGCCCCCACCCCTCCACGTCACTCCACCCACCTCGTTCCTATGGGGAGAGGAATGCCATTCTGAGTTGCAATTTTCTCTCAAAACAGTGGGAGTGAGTCTGTGTGAGTTCCGGAATCCCTGTGGAGCCTGAGAAGCTAGCTTTTTAAAGGGTTGAACATGTTGTGAAATTAATGCTTTTCTCTCTCTCAGCTGGGTTAATGTATACTATAACTACTTCCCCGGGCTAAAATGAAAGGCCATGAAGTTATCTTCATTGTCTCAATTGACGGATATTTGTTTCTTGAGCCCTGACTACAAGTCAGTCCTGTACTGCCTGCCTTGGGAAGTGCTGAAAATTTGAAACATGTTCTCTTCCTATATTGAGGGAGCTTGCAGACTTGCTGGGGAAACAATGTCTAGATGTCCAGAAAGGCCATTCAGGTTGCAAAGGGACGTGTGAGTGTCACGTGGCATGGCCAGCAAGGAGTTCAGCTCTAGGGTACTGCTGAGCAAATGCAGGCTTAGAGCCAGAGGTCTGGATTCACAATCCAGGCTTGCCACTTATTGCTGATGTGGTCAAATGATATTGATTCTCTGGGTCTCGATTATGTAAATTCCAGGAGGTAGTGTTGGGAAGAAGGCACGCACCCTGAGACACCCCAGCCCTGGTGTGACACTGCCTCAGCTGCACTGCTGGGACCAGTGTGAGGCACCAGGTGTACACAGTGTTAGGGGGCCCTCACTCTCAGGGTGACCAGGCACCTCCCCAGCTGTTCCACAGTGATGCTGTGGGAGGGGTAACATGCCTGCTCTGTGCCAGGTACCCAGCTTTGTGCCTCTACCCAGGTGACCTCACTCAATCTTCACACCAAACCTGCAAGGCAGATGTTTTGTACCATTTGCACAAGTTAAAAAAATGAAAAGGGTCAGAGAGGTTATTACGTGGTCAAGGTCACAGGGCTGAAGTTGGTGTAAAGCCCAGATATGGCTGACTTCCAAGTCTATGCCCTTTCTACTCCACTGTACCTTCTCCAAGCAGTCCCATCACCTTCAAGGCGCCACTGTGGGAACTGCTTCCTGTCACATTCTATATTCCCATTCAAGCCTTGCTCAGGGGGAAGTCCCCCAGTTTACACATAGGACGCATGCCCTGATCTCTTACTAACAAGGTTTTCTGAGATGATCAATCAATAACAAACTTACCTTTAGGCTTTTGATTTTTATTATTTCATTGATCTTCAATTTCATTATGAACACTCCATTTTCCCTATATCTCCTCCTGGCCATTTCTTAAGTGTGGTTGCAGAATAATGGATAAGATAGACCGGGTGTGGGCCAGGTCCTAATAAGAAGGCAGGTTCCCGTTATACCAGCTGTTGCTCAGGGTCGACCAGCATCTCTGACAAAGCTACTCTGTAGCCCTCAGGGCGGAGGGCAGGTTTCTTCTCATCCTCAAGTTATTTCTGCTCTGAATTATCTGAGGTTAAATGGATGAACTTCTAAAGTGCCTGCCTTGTGATTCTATCCAGAGATCAATGCCAATATAGGGATATTACTACCGACTATGTCCAGACTGGCGCTGGGACATTCTCTGAAGCGCCAGCCACTGCCTTGATTACAAGACCAATCAGACCATTTCTCTTTGAAGAGTCCAGTTAACTCAAAAATAAAAGAGAGTAATTTTCTGCTGCAAATATTTGATTACAATTAAAGTAGTTCTCAAGTCTCAGGAATCCTTCACAAGAGCACATTAGAGGAAGGACGAAGAGGAGTGGGGAGAGGAGACAGAGGGGAGGGTGAGGTGGAGCGAACCTCAGGGCCGTGTATTTTCCTCTCACTGAATTCAGCCCAATTCAATTCAATAGACCCTGTATTTTCGGAGGGCTGATGAAGTGCCAGGCACTATGCTGGGCCTGGATGTGCAAAGAAAATGACTTGGACACCTTAAAACATAAGGGTACCTTATCCTAAAGCACTCATCGCTTAGTAGAAGAGACAAACCAATTTATAGATTTAATACAACTTCTATCAAGATTCCAGTGACATATTTCACAAAACCCTGTACAATGCTCACTTAGTTTTCACCACCTCAGACTGAGTCAGGTTTTAGCTTCCTTGAAACAAAACCTGGAAGACATGTCACCCTCATTTATCCCGCCTCTTCATCTGACATTTACATTCTTGTTGCAGAGACTTCCATTCATTTATTCATCCATTCGTTCACCTCATAAACATCAACTAGGGACAATGTGTCTAGAACTGACGAACCAGTGCTGAAGAAACCAGACCAGTCCTGGCCTACCAGCTGCTGGCAGTCTAGTAGTGGAGGGAAACAAGCAGTCGGAGGATCCCATACCTAAAAGCCGAATGGCGGCTGTGACAGGTGATGGAGAGTTCTGACCTGGTCAGGCAGGCAGAGCTAACGGAGGGATGTGATGGCTGAGCTGAGACCCCAGGAAGAGAAAGGAACACATCCAGGTCGTGAGGAAGGAAAGGGAGGGTCAGGCAGTGGGGACAGCATGTCATAGGGCCCTTCGGCAGGAAGAAACATATCAGGCTAAGGGACCTCAGGGCCAGTGTGGCAGGAGTAGAGGCGATGGGGCAGGGCTGGCTTCATGGCTATGTGACCTAAGGACCATGCAGGGCCCATCTTCAAATAAGTAATTTTATCTTTGAACTTGTGTTTTATAAATGAAGCCTGATGGATAATGGAGCATGTTGTGAGCAGAGAGATGGGTACAACATGCACCTTCATGGTCCTTGCTGCCCCATTCACATACGCAGGCTGCCCCATGAGCACAGAACTCGGCTGGGCCCAGGATGCATGGGAGTTCAGCGGGACTCAGTGAAAACAAGGTAAGCACGTGGCACTGAGGACTGAGTGAGCGGAGAGCTGGTGGCCCCGAGAGGCCATCTGTTTTAACCAAAATTGTTTTGACCACAGAAAGAAGGCAGGGGCATTTGGAAAAACAGATCAACCAAAGAGCTGTGATGTGTCTTTAATTATTCCTGTCACTTCTCTGTAGTGGCCAACAACTTATGCTGCAAATGATGACAGACAGGAAAGGAAAAGATAAGGCAACCCTATAGTTCCTTTTCTTTTTGGACTGTCTTCTCGATCTGTAAGCCAAAGGTAGGGAGTTCTAGTTGAATATGTACATATCAAGAAGTGAAATAAAAATAGTTGAGTTTGGTTTATGTGGCATTTACACTGCTCTGGTAAAGGATTTAATACATAAGCCACAAGAGCTACAAAATGCAAATTCTGTAATTTTCAGAGATTCTGCACAGCTGTTAACTGCTCTTATATTTACATTTTAAATGGGCATTACACAGAATAGATATAAATGGTAAAATTCATGCTAATAAATTAAAGTTTTAGTTTTTCTTTCTCGGAATGACATCAAATAGCAAATTGACAGCACTACAAGTCAAGAGATGGACTGTGGAAGAAAGAAAGACCCCATTTCCATGCCTCTGATTCTGTTTTGCTCACTTGTTTGTTTTGTTGGTTGGGTTCCACTTATAGGTGAGAGGGCAGGGAAAAATAATGGGGGGGGGGTGATGTGGACAGCTGTAATTGAACAATAAAAAATTTAATAAAAAATAAAGAAAGGCCCCAGGATGGAGTCCTGAGAAGAAAGGACATTTAAAACTGCAGTTCCCATTGTCAGTGACTCATTGGACTGTTGTGATCTGTTGGGAGGGCTGTCACTGGAATTTGTTATTATGAATGAAGCACTGTAGGGGGAGGGTGATGTACTTCAAAAGGAAAAGACCAGACGTAATGTTTCTAGATAAAAACATCACTTTTCAATGTCCATACTACCCAAAGCAATCTATAGATTTCATGTAATTTCTATCAAGATTCCAATGACATATTTCACAGGACTAGAACAAATATCTCAAAAATTTATATGGAACCACAAAAGGCCTCACAGAGCAACAGGGATCCTGAAAAGAAGAACAAAGTTGGAGGGATCATACTACCTATATCAAACTATACTGTAAGACCATAGTAATTAAAACAGCATGGTACTGGCATAAAAACAGATACACAAATCAGTGGAACAAAATAGAGACCCTAGAAATAAACCCATGCCTTTATAGTCAATTAATTAATATTCAACAGTGGAGGCACGCCCATACTATGGGCTTAGCATAGTTTATTCAATAAATGGCATTGGGAAATTGGACAGATACAGGGCAGAAAAATGAAACTAGACCACCTTCTTATACCACACACAAGAGTAAAGTTAAAATGAATTAAAGATTTAATGTTAGACCAAAAACCATAAAAACTTTAGAAATAAACACAGGAAGCACAATCTTGGACATAGCTTGTGGTAATAGTTTATCAGACATGTCTCCCCAGGCAAGGGAAACAAAAGAAAAAAACA